TCCCTGCCCCTGGATCCCCCCACCACCACTCCCTGCCCCCGGCCCCTCCCACAGCAGTCATAATGGTCTGGTTCCACTATGGAGAAAAGTTCCTTTTAAGTTGTCTACAAGGCTCACTATGCCCTGGGACCTAACTAAACTCACTGAATAAAGACACATAAAGCCCAGTTGAAGGGATTCACATACCTATTTGACGTTACCTGGCCTCTGAATGTTTAGTCATACCTGCACACTCCATCTAAGGGGGTTGTAGGTTAATAGGAAAGCCTAGACTTTCTCATCTCTCCATAATGTCTCTCGAGAAAGAAAGTTGTCCTCGGAAATTAAACCCTTCCAGTAGATCATTCATCTGGGGTCTACTAGGAAGGTGCTGAAAAGACAGAAAACATGGGAAACCAAGGACTTTCTACTCACCAGCATTCTCTTATTCCCTGGGGACTGAATCCCCCAAGGGTCGGTTGCGCGTATTTTGCTGAAGCCGTACAGGTTCAGCAGGCGGATGAAAGTCTTCAAGCTGTCAGTTTCAAAGATTCTCTCCGCGCCTCTGCGGTGAAGAACCTCCCTCTGGAAAAGGTCTTTGTCGATGATCACGGTGTCCCCAGCATCGTTCCAGCGCACCGACGTGAAGGTGTTGTCCTCCAGGATCATCCAAAGCTTTCTTGGGAAGGAGAGCCCAAGAATACTGTTGTTTTCTCCCACATTGGCGGCGCCTTGGTTTGGGGCCTGTGGTTGTGGGCTGTCTTGGGGGCCTGGATCTTGGATCACTGCTTCGTCCCTATTCATCACCAAAATCTCCCCGGAATCCAAATTTGGATCCTGGGATGAACTAGATGGTAATTCTGGTGCTGGCTCTCCATCATCAGATGGGGCCAGCTTCCCTTTGGGTATCTCCTTAGCACTCTGACTAGCCATGGAGCTAGTCTAGACCAAGAGCACTTTTGCCATGAGAATGTCTCACTGACCTCTCAAGTCGCAAATGCCTTCGGTCAGTATGGGGATGCCCAATATATACCGTCCACAAAATTCTAGAATCTCGTAGTGAGGCAACCAGCTACCTAAGTCATCGCCTCTTTATTTGTCATGTGATGTCACAAAGGTGGCTCACAGCTGATCTGGCAAGGCAGCACTGGCCAAGTGTGGGGGAGGGGATGGGCACAGGGCCCCTAGCTTCTCTCTTTTCCAAAAGTATATGCAAACATCTGGTTTGAGTTCCCAGGAAGGGCTCCTGTCTGCAGCCAGGAACATTGTTTCATGGGACCAGGCCCTGGATGGGAAGAGAAACCATGATCCGAGGTCCACTCCCACTCCAGGGATGGGGGAGACAAGTTGCTGGTCTCTCAGATTTGGTCAAGAGCCAGACCCTGGTTAGTCCTGGCTTGGGCTGCCCCCAAGACTGCCTGGGTCAGATGGACCCTTGGGGTCGGTACCTCTCAGAAGATGGCAATCCCTAGAGGACTTGTCCTAGTCTTACTTGGTAGCCCCCATTTATTCCTACCTGCCCTCCCCCCCCCATACTTACTGCTTTGGTCTCTTCCAAAATTTCCTGCTGGTTACTTGGTACTGCTCAGAAAGGCCCCAACAAAAAGTCCTGTTTTCATGCCCCCTGTGTCAAGTTGTCCTCAGGGTAGGGTCTCAGTTAGGCCCCCTTTTATGCTGCCCCCACACAATTCCCTTTTTGGTCTCTTCCAACTGTTCCTGCTAGTTAGTTGGTCCTGCTCAGATAGGCCCCAACAAAGGGTCCTATTTTCTTGTCCCCTGGGTCAAGTTGTCCCCAGAGTAGGGTCTCAGTTGATGAGCCCCCCTTTTATTCCTGCCCCCCC